ATATATATATATAGGCATAGTTGCATTTTTGTGAAATTCCAGTGTGAATGATGAAAAATGAATTGTTAAATTGACAACTGAATTATTAAAGTCAAACCAGCAGCTAAAAAGCTAAACTTAGCAAAACCATAGCTAACAGGGAAAAAACTGCAGCTAAAAGTAATTCAAGAAAGTAAAGTTAGAGCAAGAATATGCTGTAGTATGTTTAAAATAGAACAACACTTTTTAAGTAATGGAAGAGAGTATTTTTCATGGAATTTTATTTGTAGATAAAGTACAAAATTACAAATACTGAAAGTCAATGCGCTATTATGATCGAGCCTTTTGGTCTATGAAGCACATGCAGATAAAATTTGATTGCAAAAAAACTGAAAAGTATGGAAGAAACTATAAACAGGAAAACAAAAAACTCTTACTTCCAAATAAATGTGTAAATAACAATAATGAAAGCTGAAACTGTGACAGAGCGACAACACAGAATTTCAAAACAAAACTATTACCAGATGTATAACGAACAGCTGTAGAAATATAAATTCTCCAAACCAAATTTAGAAACAGGCATTAGTTACTGGTCTTCCTTTGTTGACTGTAGGTTTGTTGCATTTATCATCAATCAGCTGTTATACCCGCTTGATCCAACTGGGGATCATGGGTAGCCATGGTGCCAATCACCAGCAGTCAGTGTTCATCAGGCACAGTTCAGCTTGGACAGGTTACCAGGCCATCATAAAGATTATTTTATTTTATCAATTATTTCAAAATGAAATGACCAACATGTCCTAAAACAAGTGGAACAAAAACAGTATGGCAACTGAATTAGATGAGTCTTTCACCCCACAGTCACAGAAAAACATTTTATTTTGTTAAATGTTTGATATAGCAAGAAAACTGTCAAGAAATGTCTCTGTTCCAGCACACTGACAGCCACAGATGCAGAATGATAATGAAGTGTAATATTTATGCTCAGCTAGTTGTCATAATATTCTTGTTATGTTGAAGCTGTAAATATTTCCTCAAATGATGATAGCTCAACATCACTGACTTGTAACTTCACCGCTGCTGCACAGTCAAGCAGAAATGCAACTAATATTTCGTTCCTTTGGTCCTTTTTCTTTCCAAAAAGCACGTGAAGGCATCATTCTCTGAAAGCAGGGGCCTTGCTCAGCCCTGCACCTCGCCCTGCTGGCTGTTTGGACGACTTGCCATCACCGTCGTCCTAAAATAGGCCTCTCTGGAGCATTTCATGAGTAATGCTTTAGGAATGAAAAACAAATCTGTCTTTGATTGATAAAGCAGATTGGATTAAAGAAGCGACTGTTTAGACTTCCTAACAGGGAGTTTTATCGCATATTCAGGATGTTGACTTTGAATAATTAAAAGAAACAGGTTTGACCCCGTCACGTGACCCCAGACTTCAGGCCTGGCACGTTGCTGCAGTAAATAGAAGTGGAAGACAGGATGTGAAAGGAATGCGTTACGTCTGTGTGGCATGTGTAAACAACCAGGAAACCAACAGGCCCAGTTTCACTCTGCACATTCTCACACATAGCTACAAGCTGACCGGTTGGAGCAGATGTCGGTGTTTGATTCCAAGCCCTCCCCTGCCTCCTGCGCTGTGTGAAGCTCAGAAGGCCAAAGCACAAATGTTTGGTGAGAGCCTCTGCTCCCTGCATGGTAGTGGGGTTGGTGTCGGCCCCTGTTCCTGTGAAAGAATCAGAAACAGTCCCACAGCAAACCGAGGCTTGTCCTCCACTCCTCTCATTCACCACCGCCTTTTTTTCCCCCCACRGCTTGACGTCATGCGGTCGGCTCCCTCCACAGCTGGCAGAGAGCAGCCAGCGTGGCATGAACACAGAGAGAGACGTTACCCTGAGCTGGAGGAAAATTCCCAACTGAAACGCCGACTCATGGGATTCTGATCAAAGTTTGCTCAGCCACACAGAATTTCCAACCTAGAATGAGACTATGAGGTCCCCACACTCATTGAGGGAGGCCAGATTTCTGAGGCCGTGTCTGAAAGCTTCAGCCTCCACTTTTTGTTGAACAGCCGAGGGGTAAAAAATGAGTAATTTATAGAAATGCTCTTTAGCCATGGAAACAAAGTGCTGATCCTGAGGTTTTCCAGAATTAAATAGCACCCCAACACCTACCTCCTTTCATTTAGTTCAGATTTTATGAAGTAGTTCTTTGGAAAGACAATAAGCAATTAGTATGTTAAATTTCTAACCAGCGCCAGGCCTCAAAATCCAAAATGGCTGCCTTGCTTCGACAATAAACTTAAGACATTTTTATTTTCAAACACATTTCTGTCCAACCTCTGCTGCAGTTGGATCGGACGCCAAGTTCTGATTTTTAAGATAACTGGAACGCAGCATCTTGATTAGCCTCAATTCAGTCAGGAATAATCTGTAATTCTCCAAACTCAGTTGATTCGAAGAGCTATGCTCTTCATAATCTATCAAAAGAAGACCTGAAACATTGCTTTAAAACGTATCCCGTTTTTTCTCAGACTCTGGGGTAAAGTGAGTGGAGCAGGGGGAGATCTGTGAACCAGAGCCAGTCTTCACTAAGAGGGCTTGGCTGGAAGCCAGCAGAGGAAAAGAACAGCAGAGGAATTTCAAGAAGCTCCAGCAATGTGGGCCCCGAGTTCCAGAGGGGAAAACACAGATGGAAATATAAAAGTGACCATAATCTTCAAAATGTAAACAACCAAAAACTAATACCATATATAAATCTTATTTACAAGTAAAATTGTTACAGTTAAAAAAAAACCCACTCAGACCTCAGTGGCCATTTTGTTGGAAGGGCAGCTGGAGGTTTATTTTTGTAGCTGCCGAAGGTGGTAAAGCTTTTTTTTTCTCCAATATTGTTTTAAATACAAAAAACACCAGTCATCTTAAAAAATACCCAATTATAAAGTTTTACTCTAAGTTTTCTACTGTTCTCATAGTTTATGAGACACACTCAGCATTTATTAGAATAAAACTATGAATCAAGCTCAACACATAAACACTGGTTTAACTTTCAGCTGCGGCTTATTTCATGCATCATTTAAAGGGGAAATTATATCAAGTCTTATATTTAAAGAGCCTTCACGTGATTTTTTAAATACATTTTATCATTACATTTACATTACATTACATTTTATTGTAGAGCTGTCAAACAAATCCAACACTTCTGTCTCTTCGATGTAATTTAATATAAAAGCAAATACTCAAGAATCTTATGTGAATGAGCTCTGTTTGTACTGGATAAATGTGGGAAGTTAAGGGGGAAATTATTGAGAAACAAATAAACATGAAGTTGTTTAAAATTCGTGTTTGATAAACTATTAAACCTTTCACATATTTATTTTAATCAGACCCTGTTAGCATTTTTATAGGGCGAAAACTGCGTATATACTTTTTGATTCGAGCCTAATAAAGAAATTTTCTGCACAATTCTTTGTTATCCACTAGGTGGCAGCAGAGGACAGCACTGAAAACTTCCCACGGGGTGAACAGGAAGGCTCCTCTGGCTGCACTGTGGATTGATTACTTTCATGTGCTTTCACTTCTAGTCCGGTGTAAAAAAAAAAAAAAAAAAAAAAAAAAAAATAATAATAATAATAATCTAACTTTGACCAGATCTCAGTGCAGTAAGTCAAAACAAAGTAACTGTGAAATATGAAACAAAAAAACGAGTTTCACACAACCCTGCAGAATGATCAATTAGATTTGATATCTTTTATTTTTTTGTTCACAGTTTTAAACAACAATATGTAGAAGAAAAATACGTGTCCAGTGACTAACATGGCTGTTGACATGTTTTATTTTCCTTTTCACTTATTCAAGGAGTTTACTGGTTTTCAGGCAACTAATCTTCTGTTTATGTAAAGATAACATCTCAATGCACACATTTCGAGTTTATTCTTGGTGAACAGAAAATTACGTTTTAGTCATATTACCATGTTTTAAAATCAGTGTAACAAAATTACCAAAGATTGGTGTGGATTTTATTAATAAAAACAAGTCTTAATTGAGAATAGGTCTACTTTATCAGATGGTTGTAGATTATGGACAATCTGAGACACAGGAAAAAACATGTTTGTGAAGTTCTTTTATTTTTCTACGTTTATTGGAGAGAAATAAAATCTGATTTTCATGATGGTGGATTTTCTTTAAAAAAATTTCTTTTACTTATCTTTCTTTATTCTATCTCACCATGTCCTGTTTTGAGCTGCTGTAATGTGCAAATTTCCCCACTGTGGGATCAATAAAGTTTTATCTTATCTTATCTTATCTTATCTTATCTTATCTTATCTTATCTTATCTTATCTTATCTTATCTAAAATTCAAATAAACAAAAGTCACAATCATTCATTAAAAAACAACTTTAAAAAAGCCATGTGAACATTGTTTTAAGTGTTGATTGCTTTATTATCAAATACAATTTTTTAACACATGCACATTTCGATGTTGAGTAAAAATATATACTGTAGTTATATGAAGTATTATTCAGTTGACAATTTTTTGTGAAATAAACAAAACAACAAAGGCTTTCTTTTTGTTTTGCTTAATTTTTTATAAACAATCCTTGCATCATTAAAGAAAAACAGATTTAGTTTTTTTCTAATATATCAAAAGTTTCACAGATTATAAAACTCATACCACATATGTGACATAAACACTAAAAATGCATCTTGCTGTTTATTCTGCAATGAACTTCTAATGTCTAATGTGTTCAATCATTCCTGATATAAGTGATGTGAAAATAGCAAAAGAAATGACTAAAAAGAACCAAATTATCTACACTTTATTCAAATTTAAAATGTCTCATGTTAATAGAGATATTAAAAACCACAGAAGAAAGTTTTTCCTTGGGCCTAAAACTTTATTATGATAAAAGATCAATACATATTTATGATTATAATAAACTATAATTTCCATCAGAATGTGTTTTTATTTTCGCTCTCCTGCTCAGCGACAGTGGCGTTTGTTTAGAAACTTGCTCCGGGTGCCCTTGCACCCGATGCTCGCTGTTTTCACTGCCGCTTCGTGTCCTTTCTGCGACTCAAAGTAAGATGGGGAAAGCCAGGGTTTGTGTTTGCTGAGCTGACACCTCCATCATCATCRCCACCACCACGCTCCCTCCACCCGGGACCGCCGCTCTGCTTGAAAACAAACGGCACGGCGGCTCCGGTTACAGGAGCCCGATCGATGCCCTGCGGGGTGTCGCGTTGCCCGGAGGGCCGAGTATCGTTGCATGGCCGATCGCTATCATAATCACACTTCCCCAACCCCCCCGTTATCGCTTACCTACTGAATAAAACATCTGCCTTCCTGCTCACGGATCGCTCACCGTTCCTCTGCCCACCACTCCAGAGCAAATCTGAAGGGAACAGAGCTTCCTGAAGTGTCTTTGGAATGAGTGAAGTAACAGGAGAAAGGTGTGCGATGATACCCAACAAATTAGGTCCTCCGCGTTGTTTTTATCTCGGGCATCGCAAAAATAGACCCCCAAGCAGCAGCAGCTTCTGGCAGGGTCTGTCCCAGGATGCTGCAGTTTCACCTTTCATTGTTGAGATGTGTCATCTGACCCAAAACAACCTTTAGATGTCCACGTTTTGATAGAGTCACTCAAAGTGTGCCACTGTGTGGGGTTTGGACTCTTTTCAGCATATTCTGCTGCCAAAAGTACAAAAATCACCAAACTCACAAATCACTGGTAAAAAACGACCAAAACTAGTGTTTTGCATGTAGCATTTTAGGACTGAGTTTTAGGTTTTTAATTGAGAAAAGATGTTTTATTGTATGTCATGTCGCAACAAGTGTTAGAGTATATGGTATGAATGAATCTCAGTTACGACCACATCAAACTTTAGCTAAATATCTGTASATTTGACTGAGCTAGGGCCATTTCTGTGTTGACTATTGATTAGCTGTGGTGGCCATCTTGAAACGAGTTGACTCTAAAAGTGAATCAGTTTGCAAATGTAAATCCCATTATTAATTTGTAAGTTTTGTAAAAATTATCCCAGTGATTCATGAAATATTTTTCTGACAGACATGGTTGATGAAGAGTTAACAACAAAGTTAAAGAGCTTGTGCAATATATTGCAGGAAGTTTGTGATGGCAAGGTCGGTCAGAAACTACCAAAGCTAAATTTAGCCTAATATCTGCAAAATGAGAGGGTTGGAACCATTTTGTTTGTTAACGTTCATTTGTTGTAGCTGTAAATCCAAAGATTACTTTTTGACAGTTTCGTTAAAAAGATTGCTGTTCAAATTTACTCAAAATGACCGGTTTAACTGAAAAATTGCRTCAAGACTGCATAATACAAATGAGAAAAGTTTGGGTTTTTTCCTCCATCATCAGTGATTTTATATGTGAAAATGTTGCACATAATAAAGTTTAAATAGCGATATACTGAGAGTATTGCTGAATATTAGTGACATAAGTGTGGCTATATTTGGTAATTCTGCAAATGTGTCAAGATTTCTAAAATAACATCGGAGTAGTCCGCTGTTTTAAGATGGCAGCAATTAACTTTTGGTCTTGGTCCCACTCAAACTAACATCACTGTGGAAGCCCATTTCCGCCACCCTGATAAAAAAAATAAAACTTGTATCTCATAATTATGACTTAGCTATCTCATTATTATGAGATACTATCTCATAAAGCTAAGTCATAATAATGAGATACTATCTCATAATTATGACTTAGCTATCTCATTATTATGAGATACTATCTCATAATTATGACTTAGTTCAGCTATCTCATAATTATGAACTATCTCATAACTATGACTTAGCTATCTATCTCATTATTATGAGATAGCTAAGTCATAATTATGAGATACAAGTTTTATTTATTTTTTTATCAGGGTGGCAGAAATGGGCTTCCACAGCCATGTGCAGAAATACACCAGGGGTCAAAAACAGCCAATCAAGAGCCAGGGGGATTGTCTCATCATCATCATCATCATCATCAATGTCAATCATGCTCCTATATTTGCTTCTCACACAGGCTAAGTCCAGTTTTCTCAGAACTACCTACTGCAGCTTTAACGGGACTTAAACTAATTGTTTCTGTTTACCTGAAATAATGACTTTGTGCTGATCTCTTTTTCTGAGAAGTGCACCATAAATTAGTACAGTCATTAACAATAAAGTGAGKAATTCAGAGGGTTATAAAGCAGCTCCTCTTCACCCCTAAGCAGCTATGACAAATTGTCAGTTTCCCTGCTCCTGCTAATACAAACTCTAAAAATTGTTAAAGAGACACCTTAAGCAGAAATGTATTAATTATTCAGAGCTTACTGCAGGTTAACTGTAGTTAAATCCAGTGCTCGGACTGGTTCTTGTTGAAGGATTCCCTCTTTCAGGCCTCACCTGGAAGCTGTAAATCAGTCTGAGTGTGTTGCCCACACACAGACACTACAGGTGCTGGCCTCCTGGGCTTACCAGGGTTAGCAGAGAAAGTGTAATCTGGCAGAACTTTTAGTTGACAGATTAGCCGGAATATACGTCTGTTTATAAGTAAATGCATTTGTACACACGGTGATGTCCTTAAACCAGAGCTTGCAGGTAAAACCAAAGGGAACATAAAGACCAATCCAAAAATCAATGGCAATCAATTCTCTAAAGCGATAAAATACACGAGTGTTTGATTTGCTTACAATCAGCCACTAAACCTGAGAGACCAGGGCAGAGAGGGTTAGATGCCAACTGCCGGAGACGTAACGGGACACTCGCTGCTGAGCTATTAGGACAATTAACAAAGTGGTCAGAAGGGGCCGAGCGGCAGAGGAACGGCCTGAAATGGAGAGCTGAGGGTGTGAAGTGACAGTCAGCACATCTGGTCTCATCAATAATGCAGCGGGCCTTTAAACGGCAGTTTGTCGCACGTTGAGCTGCCGGCTGAAATCAAGCCCGACACCCAAGACGCCGTCAGGGGAGAGTGAGAGGGGAAGAAAATAACGTGTCTCCGTTTTCACATATTTATCTGATGAAGAACGAGCTGACTGAGCTAAAGATATATAATGAGGCGTAATGCGATTGTCGTGACCAGAGAATGAGAAACGTGGAAAATCTGAGTAAACACCAGAACAACTTACAGATCTATTCATAGCTTTTATTATTAAAATGAAAAAGAAGAAGCGGAAATGAGCCACTCTTGTGCCCAATCGTTTCTAAAAGGTCAAAACAACAAAAACACAAACCAGTTACTGTATGACAACTTCATGGAAACCTTTGAGTGTTTCAGCTGGACGTTTCGAAGAGTTCATTTTCCTGTGATCAGAGGATTTCTCAGCACGACGATCACAGAGTCGCCCCTCAGGAACATTTTAGAAATGTAGCGATCTTTGTTTACAGGCTTTGACTTCTTCTTTCCCTTTCCACTCTTAGGAACTTCGGTCCACATTTCTTTCACATTCTCCAAGACCATGTTGCAATGCCTGAAACAGTAATAAGGACAGATTATTAAAATACTATCTAGATAATAGCTTAAAAAACATTTCCATTATCTTGTGATGATGCAAAAACACACAGCCTACACATAGCTGGATTCAATAAGGTATTTTTTCCCCACACAAATTATTATGAGAGTTTGGGGTCTTTGATTTTCATAAGGATAAACTTACTGGAAAATATAATCAGAATTTAGGATGTAGAAGTTAATGTGACTGTCATCACCGTTGTTTTTTTTGAAGTGACATCATTTTTATTTCATCTTTTGCTTAATATGCCCATCCTTTTTGCATGAGCAATATTAAAAGCTACAAATATTCATTKAATTCACTGTAAAGTACAATTTTGTGACACACCCCTAAAACAGTTTTCAGCAGTGTGTTGTAAAATGAGACTAAAACCATTTTAGTCGAACATGCAAATCTAATCAGTCCGGGACCGATGCGTGTTCTGTCCTCCTCCGAGCATTCAGAAAAAACACGAAGGCAGAAAGGCGAATACAGTGAGCCCACCTCTGAYGCCCCTCTGAGCCCCACAGCGAGGTAATATCAGAGCTGGGCAGRCCAACTTGTGAAAAAGCCACCCATGATTCTGCAGACCATTTTTCATGATCATTTTATAATCCAGTTTACGATTTGATTTCATCTACATGGTTTTAGTACCAATACACACAATTTGTTGCACAGATGTAGCATTTTGATGATTAAAAACAAGAGAAAAACAATCTACACGTCAGTCACCGACTCCCCACCTGTCAAAAGCTTTGACTCGTCCGAGCAGCTTCTTGTTGTTGCGACAGTTGATGAGGACCTGAGTGTTGTTCTTCACTGACTGGGTGAGCACTGACAGGGGCCCAGTGTTGAACTCTTCCTCCTCACGTTTCTGCAGCTCTTCAGGAGTCATTTCTGACTTGGGTTTTGTTAACAGACTCCTAGAAATCAAGGCAAACAAAGTTAATTTTTGTTATTTTCATACATACACTTATTGAAGATGTGCTGAACATCTCATCCTATTACGTTGTATTTTATTTGAGTTTTAATAGAACTATATAAACACTATTTCAGTAWATCTGTAACGACTTACATAGACTAATTGCAACTGACAGTGTTGCATTACAATTTGATCAAACTACCTGTAACTGAAAGGGATTAATGATTTTGGGACTGGTTAAATCTTTGTTTTACCTGAGAATACTTCTGTTGTGAAATGGCACTATGCATACAAACTTAATTCAAATAATTATAAGTTATATACGCCAATAAAGTTTAGAACACATGTAACAGAATTTACAATATCAGGACGCCAAGGATTTTACAAATAATTGACATACAAAAAGTCAAAGAGAGAAAATAATGTTAGACAATGTATTGCACCATGGCAAAATAATTTTTTTAACCGTTTCAAACAAAATGTTTAAATGCAACAGTGTTTAGCACACAGGCTACCAAACAAGAATTGAACAGAGACAGAAGACCAATTTATCTTTCAATTAAATCAGAGTTTGGCACAAGCAGGGCTCCATACTTTGCTTCTTGTTAGCTTCTTTACCTAACAAGCTAACTCCATCCATGGATCCTGACTTAACTTCAGCTTTACACGTTAAAGCTTTTTATATAAACATTCACTCAGATTAGACATAATTTGTCATAAGACAACAGCGTTAGCATGTAAGGAGCAACACAACTCGAGCTAATAGCCTTGGTTGGTGAAAAGGCTAATCAGGTTAGCATTTATCCGCTAAACGCAAAGACTCCTAGCATGAGCTCCGGAACGAGAAAAACTATCCCTCAAGCTTTCCTAATAGCCGGATCATCACCGAAGACACTTACATGGCTGATCTTTTAAAAGAACTAAATTTAAAGCTGTATTGCGTTCGCCTTCACCGACTCCTTCGTTTCAGCAACGATCGACTGACTCGCATGGACAGAGTCACTTCCGGGTGGTTCTGCACGCGCGTCAATATTACTTCCGGGTTACCTTTTTTTCCCGTCTGTCAGAAAGAGCACATTATTTTGAGGGTTTTTTTTCTTTCAAATGACAATACAATGGAAAATGAAATATATAATCAACTTACTCATTATTAATGCAAACGTTTACATACAAAAATGTAAATTATCTTGTAAAAATCTCTTTTTGTCTTTTGTAAAGAATCGAAAACTCACTTAAGTAAAAAAGCCTGTTAAAACAATGTCGCTGCAAAATTGTCTGGTATTTTTTCTTCGTTTTTAATTTTTTCCCTGGTAAGGGAATTTAAATGCAGTTTTATGCATAAGATTGATATTTTGCATTATCTTAAATAAAAATGATTTCTGTCATTGAGATATTAAATTATACATCTTGATTTATACCTGTTAAAACAATGTCGCTGCAAAATTGTCTGGTATTTTTTCTTCGTTTTTAATTTTTTTCCTGGTAAGGGAATTTAAATGCAGTTTTATGTATAAGATTGATATTTTGCATTATCTTAAATAAAAATGATTTCTGTCATTGAGATATTAAATTATACATCTTGATTTATACTTATTTAAAAATTAGGAAAGTCATTACTGTTGGGCTGTAGGGTACCCTTTGAGCCATAGACGGCACTTCAATAGTCTGATTCTGTTCTGGACAGCATGTGCTCAAAAACATCTAGTCCATTAAAGAAGACCTGGGRTTGTTGGACAACTAGAATAATCAGACAAGACCAGGACAACATTTTCCATGAAGTTCAGCAGCTGGTCTTCACAGTTCGCAGACATTTACAGACTGCTGATAAATGAAGCACGAATGCTTCACAAGTCCATTTCCTCAAGGATTTATGTTTTGCTATTATC